CTCTCTCTCTCTCTCTCTCTCTCTCTCTCTCTCTCTCTCTCTCTCTTTCTCTCTACCCTATCTAAGTGCCAGGATTACAAGTGTCTACCACACTCACCCGACAGTTATATATATATATACCTGGAAGCCCAATCCTGTGACAAGTACACGGCAAGCACTTTTCCACCGAGCCACCTGCACAGCACCTACTTATTATTTTTATACAAATTTATTTATAATACAGTATCTGTGGCTATAGCCAAAAACTGAAAACATTTTTATTTAATATATTAATGACAAATGAGACATTATAAATATATTCATCTACAGTGAACCCAAAATATAGCATTATTAATGGATGGGAGCAAGTCACTGCTGATAAGCCCTGGAGCATTATTTCTTAACTCTTGTTTTCTTTCCTTCTCTCTCCGTCTCTCCCACCCTTTTCTCTTTTTCCCATTTCATCTAGTATTTTCTCTGCTTTGAAGTTTTCAACCTTGGAATGAATAAGGTGGAGAAATAAGTAACATAGAGTAAAGGCTGTATGCACATTGAAAATGAAGGACTTTTTGTATAGTGAGTTGAGTAGAATTGTACATTATCGGTGATATGAAAAGACAGCAAATGATCAGGCATTTATTTTGAAAATGTGAACATTGTCCATCAGATAGATGCCGCATAGTGTAAGGTATGTAAGGCAACACTGAGATGTGAAGTTTAAAAGTCTTAGTTTTAGAAACATTGAAAATAGAGCATCAGAAGCCCATGCTGAAGAGAAGACAGATTGGATCAAATGGTGTCAGTACCAATTCATGAATAAAGCATTAGGACCAAAAATGATGGATGTCTTTTCTGTAACTATTTCCTGCCAAGTGACAGACGAATTCTCAGATTGCAGTTCAATATGCATTAGCAAATATATAGCAGTGGGTAAGTAGATGGTAGCAAGCACAGATATATGGATGTATGCAGGGATACTGATTTGAATGGTATATACTATATTGATGCCTGATATTTTATTATTCATGCATGCATTTTTATTTAAGATATAACCTACTACTATCAAAGTCATGTGTACTTAAAGTAAAGATTCTTCAATATCTACCTGTTACAATTCTTGGCTATTGGAATTTGATATAAAATATATAATTCAACTTCCAAATTATTCTGAAAGTCTTAATTTTTCACCATGAAGAAACAGAAATATAAAGTATTTCTTACACCAGGATACAAAATTAAAAATGATTGCTGTAAGTAAATATGCATATGTGATACAAGATTCAGAACTGTGAAAATTTCATTCACCCAATTATTAATTTATTCAATCACATACTAATGAGTTTTAAACATAAGACACTGTCCTGGACACTGAATTACCTTGATGGAAGGAGTCTCAAATAACACACAATAATAATGATGTCTGATGACAGCTAAGGGAGCGGGAGAAAATGAAAATTTTTAGTTAAAATAATTAGAGAAATCACCAAAAGATAAACAGACACATTACGTAAGTAAGACACTTTATGTGTTTTAAATTAAGTGGATTTTAATTGTAAATATTAAACGATTGAGATGTTAATAGTAGTCTTTAGAATTATACACTCGATCAAGTTTAATTACCTGAATTATTCCATGTGTAAATTTAATCTAAAAGTTTTAACAATTTTTTCATCCCAGAGTTGACCCCAATCCATAAATGTAGTGTAATTTAGTTTACTTGGGGTGAGATGTCCTTGACAGTGAGATACACTGTTATTCTCTTGTTTTCTTTATGACTATATTTTAAGATGTGCCTGTGTATATGGGTGGGGGGGACAGACACATTCCAGCATTAGGGTACTTAGGTTGTTTCAATTTTTGATAAAGTTTTTATTTAATGTTTCATCGATAATAAATATAGACATAAATGCTTTTTTTTATTTCAGTCTGAGTCAGGCGAAGCATTCTGTTTGTGATATTGATTCTGTTATTACTTTTCCCCAAAGGTGTTATTAGGACAGCGTTGCCAAACATGGACAGAGAAGTCAAAGAGCAGTACCAGGTCCTCATTCAAGCGAAGGACATGGGAGGACAGCTCGGTGGGCTCGCTGGAACAACAGTTGTGAACATTACCCTCACTGATGTCAATGACAACCCACCTCGATTCCCAAAAAGTATGTCAGCTACATGTTCACCATATTTGCAAATGTTTCTAAAAGAAATTACTTACCATGTCATATTCTTCTCTTTCATGATAGATCATGATTTTGGTTTTCCTTCCCTTTGTTCCTACCATTCCTCCCCATCGCTCCTACCATCTGATTCCACTCTAATTCTGTCTCTCATTAGAAAACAACACAGTATAATAATATAATATAATTATAATTATAAAGTATAATAATATAATATAAAATGAAATAATAAAATATACCATGACATATCTGCTTTTAATACTTTCTTTTATTTTTTAAAAAGAAAACAAACTCTCTTTTTTAAAATTTTACATAGCCATCCCAGTTTTCATTCCCTCTCCTCCTCCCATTTCATCACCATAACCCCCAATGCCACCCCATTCACTCCTCAGAGAATGTAAAGCTTTGCAGAAGGTCCAAGACTCTCCCTACTATATCTAGGCTGAGCGACGTATCCATCCAAAAAGAATGAGTTCCCAAAAATCCTGTCCATGCATTAGGGATATATCCTGGGGCTGCTGCCAGTGGCCCCACAGTCTGCCCAGCCCTACAACTGTCACTCACATTCAGGGGGTCTAGTTTGGCCCTATGCTGGTTCCTTCCCTATCTAGCTGGAGTTGATGAGCTCCCATTAACTCGGGTAAACTGTTTAAGAGGTGAGTGACCATGTTATATTTTAATGCCACAAAAAGTAAAAACGTCTCTAAATACTATTGTTATTTAGGAAGCAGGTTATTACGGATTTAAAAATATATATATGTCTTTATTTTTTAAAGGAAATCATGCTTTGTGTGATGATAATATGGAAGAGTTAGTCTAATTATTCTTTATTTATTAAAAATTTCCACCTCCTCCCCTCTTCCCATTTCCCTCCCACTCTCTCCATTCCCCCTCCCTTTCCCTCTCCAATCCTAAGAGCAGTCAGGGTTCCCTGAATGTGGGAAGTCCAAGGTCATCCCCTCTGCCCATTCTTTATCAACATTTGGGAGTCAGACTCCATGGTAAAAAAAAAAAAAGATCAGAGAAGCAGAAAAGCCACCAGTCCTCTCCTACCTGCTCCATTTCTTCCTCATAAAGGGCCGAGATCCTTTTACGCCCCGCCTCTCTCCTTTCTGTCCTATCTGTCCTCAGTCATCCAAAACATCTGTGGTCAATTATGGTCAACTAGTGCCCAGCTCTACTCTCTGACGCCAAGCATGTTTCATTTGTCAGAACACGATCAAAATATCACACAACAAATAGGCAGGTCCATAATGGTGTAATCATACTTATGCTATTAAAGTGGAGTAAAATTGCATTCTAGCAACCTGAGAGTGTACTACCATGACAGCTTGCTAACTAAGATATTAATCTAAATGCATAAATTATGAGGTAAGACATAACTATAAACATATGCTACCATGCTTTTTATAATAGACAGTTGTCAAATATTTATTTTGTGACTTATTTTTAGTAAGCGCATGTGTTGAACCACTTGAAATGTTTAGAATCTGATTGTTTTTTCTGAACATTGCTTTTATTCTGATCAATATGTACCTCATTGTAGATTTGCAATAGGTGAAACTTGCTTTACTTTATGGGAAAATGGAATGGTTCTCACCTATTACTTCTCTATAACTGTCTTCCTTAGAGATATGATGCTTCTCACACCTGCTTCATACAGGTTTCTTTGGAGTGTTACATTTAACACCAGTTGGTGCTTACTCATTTTCTGATGTATTTGCAAGGATTATTTCTGTGTTTCACAGAATTAGAATACTAAGGCTGGGTGGTTTCATTCATGGTTTTAGAGGAAGCATGATTTAATCATTTGTAGTTGCTTGCTTAATCAGTTTTAAATAAATTGAAATACAGAATGTTTTCCTCTTCATACAAGTGTGATTGTTTCTGGGGTTACCTAAGAAAAGATGAACTATTGCCACTATTTCTTTATTTAGATGTTTTATTGTTTTACTGAATTTTATATCATCATCTTAACTTCTTTTAAAAATTGCAGTATATTTTCTTTGTGTAAAGGTTTCAATTCATGATCGATAAAAGTCTAATAATCAAATATTATGGAAGGCAATTAGAAACCATAACACTTTAATGCAGGCTAATTACTTATACTTAGCCTCCATTATATGTACATCTTTCAATTTCCTTGCCATCTATGATAATGAGGTACAATTCTAGTGACTCAAATATTTTTTATTTAAATAATTCATTAAAATTCTAATTTTATATTATGGGATATGTAGAACAAATGGTTGTTATATACTATGATTAGTAAGACAAAAATGCTTTAAAGCATTTTTTAATCTTACTCTGTAACTACAAGGAACAAAAAATAAGAGAAATATATAAAGCATTTGGTTCTGTAGTTGATAGTCTTATTTTCTAGTACTTTTCTTATCAATGCAAGCTTTTAAATATCCTTCCTTTTTTCATTGCTTCCTTTCTTTGTTCCCACTTTTCCTTTTTCCCTCTCCTGTTCCTAACTCCTTCCATCCTTCCTCTCTTCTTTTCTTCCTTCCTTCCTCCCTCTCTCCCTTCCTTCCTTCTTTCTTTCCTTCTTTCCTTCACTTTTCCTCATTTTTCTCCTTTATTCTTACCCATGGCAAGCTTTAATAGCTTCAACAAGTCAGTTTAAAAATTTGCTTATACATAAAAATTACTATTACCGACATGGCTACTATTTTTGATCTTGTGCATATACCATGCTCGATGTTCTTATTCACATGTGTGGAAAGAAGGGTTTGCAGCCAGGCCTTCATTGCCACTGTCTGTGGAAAGACACAATCCTAGTCTGTGATTTTAAAGTTTGAACAAATATTCAGACCAAGAGTCAGGGGATGAGTGACATGACAGTGTGGAATGTCTCTGGCTCATGTATACCAGGTGATGCAGGATGGTAGTGAGTCCTGAGCTCAAGGAGAACAATCATGCTCAGCAAACACTTAGTGAAATCAGAAGGTGAGTGAGGAAGTGGGCTTTATATATATCTACCCAAATTTATTTTATTGATCTAACAGGTGCCACATAAGATTAACTATGAAAATACATAAAGGATAAATATCTGGAAGTTTATATACCTATAAGCTATTTTAAGAACTTTTTTACTTTCCACAACACTTAAAGAGAAACATTTTCTACACTTAAGAATACCACACTATTTTAGAATGTAATTTTGATATTCTGTTTTCACTTAAATGAACTAACATCGTAAGTTGTCTGTCATCCCTCTCTATGGTTGAGACTCTACAAATTTTTCACACTCCATGCTAGCATGTCCATTGTTACTAATATTGTTTTGGTTTTAATTGTGACGCTACCACCAGGAATAGACTTCCAGTGATTCTTTCACATTTGCATTGTTTCCAGTTTTGTTTCTGTGTTTTTCAGCGATGGTCTCCTGTTATTAAAGCTTGCCATGTGTAAGAATAAAGGAGAAAAAAATGAAGAAAAAACCCCTTTATTTATGAGAGGTTGTAGATCCCCTTTTCTGTGGATCTAAAGATGCTATTTTAAAATGTAGTAAAAAATTATGCTGGTTCAGCAGAGTAGAGGTAGGTTTTTCCTAAGAACAATGACCTGGAATTATCAGAAAAATAAGGCTACATACCTAGCAATAGACGTGATATCTCTTCTGTTGAGTGGGGCTTAAGACAATTCGATCACTATTGCCACTGACATGTGAGCATCCCTGACTGAACATGATGCATATCTGTCCACGCTGATCATATTCATTGTTCATGGATGCTGTAGCTGGATAGGACCATTTAATTGCTTCCCCCTCTTGGCAACGTACATAGTATCTCCTGGAACCATGGGATTAAGAGCCCAAGAAAGAGTCTTTCACATCAGATCAAGTCACAGTCATCCAATCAAGTGCGCATGTACGTGTGTGTGTGCATGTGTGTGTGTGTGTGTGTGTGTGTGTGTGTATGTGTGTGTCTGTATTTGTGTGTGTGTGTCTGTGTGAATCTATACCTTAAAGGAAGTTAAGCTAACCACTTGTTCTGAAAATGCTACTCACAGGGACCATAGATTAACATAAGGATCAACACCAGACAGTATAAGCCTTCTTTGAGGGGTTGGTCAGGGTAGTCCAAGTTACTTCCAAAACAGTAGTATTGTTTTTTTAATGTTCATTTTTATTATTTATTTTTTATTCTTAACATTACATCTTAACCACAGTCTTTCCCCCTCCACCCCACCCAGTCTCTCCTCACCTTTTCTTTTCCTCATTTTCATTTCTCCTTGAATCAGGAAAGAGAGGGTCTCCCAGAGATATTGCTGGACATGGCATAACAAATTACAATAAGACTAGGTGCAAACCATCCACTCAAGGCTAAATGAGGCAACCCAGAATGAGGTAAAGTGTGCCAAGAGCAGATAAAAGCCTCAGAAACAGCCCCTCTTCCTACTACTGTTAGAAGTCCCACAAGAACACCAAAATAACAAATAGAACATATATGTAGAGTACCTATCTCAGATCCATACAGGCCCCCTGTTAGTACAGTCTCTGTGAGTCTTATGTTTCTTGGTTAATTCATTCTGTGAACCATGTTCCCTCAATCCTTCTTCCCCATCTTCTGCAGGTTTCCATGTAATGTTTGGCGGTGAGTCTCAGTATCTGTTTCCATAGGTTGCTGGATGAAGCCTCTTTGATGACAATTGGGCTTGGCGCTAATCTATGAATATGACAGAATAGTATTAGGAGTAATTTCATTGAGTTTTTTTTTTTTTAACCAGTCACGTTTGATTCTATCCTGGGGATCATCTTGGTTGTCCAGCCTCTCATTCCTGGCCCTCTCAAGAGTGTAGGGCAGTGAAAACCTCTCTTGGCATTGGCCTCAAGTTGTACCTGTCATTGTTTGGTCATTCTCTTACGTTCTACGTGTCTGTTACCCCAATATATCTTATAGACAAGACAAATTGCAGGTTGACGTTTTTATGGCTGGGTTGATGTCTAAGTTGCAAGGCTTGAAGCCTTCATC